AACCACAGTCACATCAGCAGTAAACCTGGGCTCTGCTGGTAGCTGCAGGATTCCACTTCCCCTTCTATGAAAGGGGGATGAATTTACATGGCACTTTGAAAAGGTATATGGAAAAAGTAAGCTCTCAGATTCCCACCGATACTCCACTGCTTTATTTTCCACCAACCGCCTCACCCAAGACAGTCACTGCTGGTACAACTAAATGGTCAGCAACAACAGGTGAATCCTCCTTCACTAAGAAATACAGGTGCTAGTGTAAATGCTCTTTTAATTACACTTCACTGGAATTCTCTGCTACTATTTAGAAAGCACATCTCCACACTCAGTTATATACTGGAGGAATCATACACCTTGCTCATGCCGGCAGTACCTCAGGGTAGGCACACAGCCGACCTTCACTTGTTGCACCCTTCACTTTAATGAAGCTATCTGTGAAAATGTTTCCATTGGCAAGGGGGAGATTTTGTTATTTCATTTATTAAACTGGTGCTTTATTTGTTCTGCAAAATGTGGGAAAAGAAAGGAAGGTCAGAAAATATGAGGACAAATAGGACATTTTCAAGAGCATTGCACTGGACTTAAGTGTATTAAGAGAGCGCTCAGGTCCCCTGTACGCACTGAAATAAACAGCAGTCCCTGTGCTGGCACTGCGAGGAATTTTTAAGTAAGCCTGGGACCCACCTTGCTGAGCTCTTTTGCAAACCTAGGCACAAAAGATTTTTCCTTATTATAATTGATCTGCTACAGTTACATTAGGAGAGCTCTCCTACGGACACTTAAGGAGTAGCAGTGGGTTGTTTTCAGCATAACTAAAACTGTTTTCAAGTTGCATAAGTTAACAATAAAGAAGCAGCCTCCGTGTATGAAAATAAAAACCACCTCCAACTACATATAGACGTTCTTCTCCCACACAGACTAGCCCTCAGTTCTAAGTCTTTTGACAATTCAAGACAGTTATTATACTGTGCTTCTTTCACTGGGTGTCCCACCTGCTGTCTGCCTCAGTCTGTGCAGCACATGTTTCTGACCTGACCTCCCTGAGACAGTGCAACCCAGGCTCTGGCAGAGATACTCAGTAGTCCTTACCCTGGTTACAGTCACAGTTAGCCCAGCCGATGGCCCCCGAAGCAAGCCGGTAGAAGCACCAGGGTATAGTTCCCCCGTCTGGGTTCCTGCAGTGGTTGTGGTCCCCTAAGCCACGGTCTGGGTATTGCTGAACATAATCAGGGAACTCTGCCCAGTTCAGGCACTCTGCCCCAGCCTCAGTGACTGCCAGTGAGCCATTGTAATACCCAACAGGTCCGATGCCGCACACACTGGATGCTAGGCACAGAAAGGAAGCTGTTAGCATCACCTGAGGCATCACACAGCAAGGCTCAGATGATGCAAGACATAACCAGCTGTTCCCCTGGAACACTCTCCACACCTGCAATCTTGACTACTACTTGCCTGGTTGATTTTAATTATACTGCTCTTCAAGGCAGCTGCTAAAAGAATATTTACACACACTAGCAAAAAAACAAACTGGTCTGAGAATAGTGAACTGCCCAGACCTCTGAAATGTGTGTTAACTCTGAGGCCAAACATGGACAATTTGAACCGGCTCCCACTACTGATCATTTCAATAGAAATATTCACATAACTCTGGGCCAACACCTGAGCTTGGCACATGCTTCTTGACCTCCTTCCCTGCCTGCTCTTGTTCCTGATTAAGATGCTCTTAAATCTGATCCTACACTCTTTAGAAGATTCATCTCCTGTCTACATTGATCGAGACTGAGAAGAGTTTCAAATCAGCTGCAATTTCATTCTGTAAAGCAGGAAAACGGGAAATTACACAGTATTTTCATCATAGGCATGCTCCTTACATGCATTAGCATATCAGCTGGCTTGCCTGAACTTGGCCAATGTTTTCAGGAGAAAGACGATCGGAAAAATTATGGAAAAAATGGTGTTTCATTGTGCCTGTGGTCTTGAGTCACCATTGCAGAAAGAGTCTGCCTGATGACTGAATTAATAACTTCTTGTTCTTACCTGCACTCTGCAAATGGTTTTGGCTGGGCTGGGATCCCAGGAGAGCCTGGGAAAAGAAACAGAGCAGAAGCAGAGAGATGATTATCCGATGAAATAAACACGGGCATGTCCTGAAAGCAGCTCGGCCTTTTGCTGCTTTAGGCAAATACACACTGCTCTCGCCATTGCTCTTCCTCAAATCCAACCACAGCTCTGCCCACAAAGAACAAAATGAATAATTACTGGCCTGCAGAGATTTACTCTCAACCTAAGCACTACACTACAGGGCTCTGCTTGTCCTTTGCAGGGTTTCAGCCCCAATGCTCTGAGTGAATAGAATGGGAAGCCTGGGAGAGATGCCTACAGAAAGAAAAGCTAGAAGAAAATCATTGTCAGCAGAAGAAAAATAATGAATAAAATCTTTCCCTGTACAGGGCAAGCCATCTATGACTGCAGGAGCAAACAGAGCTTCTGCCTGACGGGATGATGCCCTCAGGGAACCCTGTTAAAACAATAATAAATATCCATGTACAAAGTGGCAAACATCTGTAAGAAGAAAACATAACAGCACTTTGAGAATTTTGGTTTTAACACATTTCAGGCCCTGAAGGTATGATACGATGTATCTTATGGCGATAGTGCCAAAATGGGGTTAAATAACTAAGAACGAAGACTATGAAACAAAGCCCTAAGAATTCCAGTATCCTGTCCAGCCCCAAAACTGCATTTCCTCTTGTAGGCAGTGTTTCTGGTGGTTATAACCTGGCTGCCGGCTGAGAGATAGGGATCTCCACTTCAACGCCATTGCAGGGTTTGCAGGCAGGTGCAAGATCTTCACAGACCCAACAGAGTGAAAAGAAGAAACTTTACATGCTTCTGCTAGTTCCACATAGTCTAATTAATTTCTAAATACAGCCACTTTTATGTGAATAAGGAGTTCTAATCCACAGAGCAGAGATGTGCACATATGAAAAAATTAGCTGTAGGAAACAGTTATGTTTTTCTTCAAAAAGCAGTAATTTTGCTTCTCTCAGCTTTATCTCTTCCTGGAAAAAGTGGAGAGAACAATTTAGAATTAAACTGCATTACTGATGTGGACCAAATCCATCTCTGGTAAAAGCAAGGATAATTCCCACAGATACTAGAAAAGAATGACACCCACTCATGGCAAATATCATTAAAAAAATAAAATCAAGCTTATGAATAGGGTCCAGCAGGTGTTGACAACAGTAGCCAAGCTCCAGGATCACCCTCCAGAAGCCAGAATGTTAACATTGTATATTGAAAATGCAATTGCTGGTACAGTTTAGAAACAGCAGATCAGATCTCTGATGCACAAGGGGACGTCCAGACAAAACAGCAATTAATTGACAAACTCCCTTCAGCCAAAACCCCATATTTCTACATGTATCACGCTATTCTGAGCCCCAACAACGGTCTGTAAACCAGTAACTCTGAAGGACTCATCGGAGGATCTCAAAGCTCTTTGCAAAGAGAGGAAGGTGAGCTGAGCTTAACTTAGGTGATTGCCCAAGATCACACAAGATAGGTGACCAAGTCATAATCCAGCTCCCCTTACTCCGAGCTTACAGTGCGCATTTGCATGCATATGCAGGCCTGCATGCAATACAGGGATGGGTCAGACTAATAAATAACATGCTATATGGAAAATTGAACTTGCACTTCTTGGAGACTGACCATAAACGAAAGGACTGCAGTTCAAGCAATATGCTTCCTCTCCAACTAATGATTAGTGGCTGTCAGTTCCCACAGTAGTTCCCAATGTCCCCCAGCACTCACCATCACCACTACCAAATTTTACCACAAACAGCCTGTGCTGCACTTGCTGCCCCATGTCCATGTGGCCATAAATCATCTGTCCACAACAGCAATAGAGATAATCAGTCAATCAGCAAAGCACAGAAACAAAGGATCTCTCCTGCCAGGGTCACTGCAGTGCTTGAGAAACATGGGAAATCTGAGCCAAAGCATCTGCAAGCTCTTGTGCATCCTGTTTTGCTTTATTTCCTTTCTTGAATTTCATATGCAAAATGAAATAAATCCCCCTCCAAACCCCCAACCTTTCCCAGAGACCACAGCTGCCTAGACACTTCAGAAAACACACTCGGTAAGAACAAGATCCACTTACAGTGAGATTATTAAAAAAGCCATGTGACTTCTTATCAGTAGATAGAAGAAAAATAATTTCTTACCTCCACACGTTTGAGACAGGATAATAGATTCAGGAGCGTTACCAAGAGCCTGAACATTTTGGGGATCTCCATCCTTCCTGTGAAAAGTAGGAAGAAGCTTCTTCAAGCTTCACGTTCTCATTCTGCTGCCAGGCTCAGCTGCTGTTCCCTTCTCTCACTCTCCAGCTCCGCTTCTCCGGAGCAGGGCATTAGCAGCTTTGCATGGAAGGGAGCAGGATGCCTCTCTCATTTCTATGTGGGGAAAGGAACGGAATCAGAGTTGCCAGCAGCATCTTTTAATTTCACTTTCCCTTACCTCTCCCCCACCTCTTCTCCTCCATTCTCCTCTCCGGAAAGGTGAAAAAGAGGGGAGAGAAGGAAGGAAGGAAGGAGAACATGCCCCAGAATTCTTCTATCACCTTTAAAAACAACAGGAGGCAAGCGCAGACGGGTAGGGCGCAGCCCTCAGCCTCCTCCCGCACCTCAGCTGTCCCCTCCCTTTCCCCTCGCTGTCCCAGCCTCTCTTCTTGCTCTAGGTATGCGTTTTTCCCTAGTGCCAGCCTCCACCTCTCCTCTCCTGCCTATCCTGCAGCCTGGCCAGCTGATCTCTCTTCTGAAATTCCTTCTTTTCACAACTGACTCTTCTCCTTTCCTCCCTTCTCTCAAGCACAAAAGCTATAGCAACAGTGGGGATCTGGGGCTTCTCACTGCAAAAGCTCCAGCGACAGAACTGAAAAGGGAAATGACTCGTGCGCACACACTTGCCAAAGATTAGACTTGTTGGAAGGAATCTGGACTTTATCCCCCCACTGCTGCCTCCTTGATTAGCTGCTTGCAGATCCCTGAGGTCAAACCCCTCTCAGATTTGAACCCAGGTAAATGGGGCCCAGAAAACTTTGTATTAAGCAGCTTCCAGACATCCCCAGGAGACAACACAGGTGGTACAGCCCTCTTGGGATGCACTCCCCTCCCCTTCAGCCCTGCACTTTGCCATCATTAATTGCTTCTAGAGATCTTTTCCATTAATTATCTCCTTGACCTTGGGCTGGGGCTGCAAAGTTATTTTCATTTGATCAGCTAGGACACTTTCCAGAAGGTTGATCGTTATTGTATTGCTATGAATAATCCTATGGTTTCTTCAGTGTTCTCATCTTACTGCTCCTTCACATGAATTAGGGCTAGAGGCTACAACAAAAGTTTTAAAAATTACTAAATCTAAGGAGGGTGTTGGTCAATTTGATTCTATTATCTTGGAAATTCTTTACACATTCCCTGCACTACTCCTCAGCTCAGACCAATGGGCATTTCCTACATTTATACTCCGATTACTGAAGGATTAACTCTTCCTGGTGTTCTGCACCATGAAACACAAAGGTCACCTTAAAAAAGAGCTCACTTCTAGCCAAGACTGCTGAGGAACATTTCCCGAGTCCTTCAGCATGAAAACTAGAAACCGGCTGATAAAAACCCCTTGGCTTGACCAAAAAAAAAAAAATTTTCCCTCCATTTATTGCCCATCATTCACATCACATGACGGTTTTGTGTTGCCTCATTGCCACTCATCAACACAAAGCAATTCCACTCCATGCTGGACCCTTTACAGGAGTAAAGGGGGGAGCAGTCGAAGTGGATTTGTATCATAGCACATTCTGGATGCACAGTGGATTTGGCCAAGAATTATACTCAATTAGTTAGGAGCAAATCTCTAATATGCTCATAGCAAGGGAGGCAAACGATCAGGGCGACAGAAGCTGGAAAAAGCTTAGATGCTATAGCATTCTGTAACTCTCAGGCAGCACTGACAAAACGGAGCAAAACAAAATAAAGAGGGAACGTGTTGGAATTTTAGAACTGCTCATTCCAATGAAAACAGGAGGAAGGGATGTACTGGAAACAATAAGAGAAAATCCACTGGCACTCAGAGAACTCTCTGCTCCTCAGGCAAGATTAGAAACGTTGTTGATGCCCCTTCAAAACTCCCATGAAGATACTCACCTATTTAACCCTAAAAGCGAGCTCTGTGCTCTAACAGCAGCATCATACATTTAGATGAGGAAAGAAACTGCTGTTTTCAACCTTCTTCTGATACAAAGGGTTTATGACCTCTACCAAAAGCCTGCACTAGATCTCTCTCAGTAGCTTGTTCGATAGTTCCCTCTCAAGCCAAGGCTTTCCTAGATATTTTTTCCTAGATATAACACCACCACCTTCCCCAGCAAGTCCCCCAGACACCAGAAAAACTTTTCACCTTCCTGACTGCTTGAAAAAAGAAAACAGGAGAGCAAGTGTTCTTACCTTAAAGGTTCTACCATAAATGTTTGGTAAGCCAGTGTTAATAATCGCTTCCAAAAATACCTCAGACTTTAGGAAGTAGATTGGTTTAACTATTCAACAGGAAGGTCCCTCTTAGATCTAAGTAGGGAAATTTCTGGGACAAAACGGGGAGAACCCATTGTTCTCAAAGGGGAACACAGACCAGTGCACCAAAAGCAAAAAATAAGTCCAAGTTTGGTATCCAGCTTCCAGAGAAATGACAAACCATGAAAAGATATACTAGTCTTTGCAGTAGTCTCCTCTGTGGCAGGTCCTCCGTTGGGAGTATTTTCCAGTTGCTAAGACCTCCTTCTACTTTTCTGCCTGGCATATGTAATGACAGTTCCTTGAGGGAGGCAGATTTCAGATCCTTAAAACCTTCTAGCGGCCACATGACCCTCTCCTTCCTTACTCATACACGCTACTACCCAAACAAGATCGAAGATCTGCCTATACAGAAAGGCTCCACTATTTAAGCTAGCATAATTTTACAGCTAGTTATACTGGTATCAGCCCCTTTCTGGACTCTCTTGGCTTAATCACCTCCGAAGACACCACAAACTAAATCAACCCTATATGGGTGTAAGACTGACCAAGAAGGAAATTATACTAATGTAACTATGGCAATTTAAGTACATTTTACCTCATCTCTAGACACGTTACCTAGCTAGAACTTTCCTGTGTGGGCAAGTTTGAAAAAGCTGCAATTACTTAAGTCAACTATTTAATACTTACCACGTTCTCACCCTGATATAAGCACAGGTCTACATTTTTCAATGCTAATTTAACAGTCTATGGTTCCCTCCAGAATCTTTGTCTTGTTTTTTCCATATTATTCTGTACTAACCCTTCTGAACAAAGAATAGTACTATCTTCTAAAATGCCTAACTTATTTCTCCTTAAGAGACAAGACTGCTGTTCATCAAAAACAGCTTAAAATCACATCTTCCCATTAAAGGCACAACATCTTCATCTCTCTGGGCTAAGAAGCAAGGAAATAAAATTGCTGCTTGCCACACTAGGAACAAGTACTGGTCAAAGTCAGTGACAAGACTGTCTGAGTGAAGAACTGGGCCTTAGTGCTTTTGCTAGGCTCAAAGCTGCTTGTCAACAACAGAAGACAGAGCAAATGTGGCTAAAGATTAGAAACTGACAGCAAGAGCACTACTTCCTTCACAAGAGGTTGTCCTTTTCTCTCTCAGGTGACCAACTGCTTGAGAAATGGTCATCTAAACATAGGTACTCTAAGCCATCCTCCTGTGCATCTACTGAACGCTTGTTCGTAGCTAGTAGAGACTGTTAATCCATATCAGCTTGGCCTGCTGGATTACTAATTACAAACTCACAGTAAACTTGTTTCTAATTGATACCTGAGTTGCACATTTGAACAGAAAAAAAAAAATGTTTAAAAGCACTGCAAAGTATTCTGAACTTTTAAGGACATCAAGTACGCTGATGTCAAAGGTTATCCGCTCACCAGAGAAACTAATTGATAGCCCAGTTCCAACATGAGGATTAGAAAGCAAAGGGACTGAAAAACAAACGGAATAGCCACAGCTATTATTTAGCAAATCTAAACCACCAAACAAAAAATTAATGAAGCCCCCTCTAGGCTGTGGGCCTAGAAGCCAGCGAGACTAAAAAGAGATCGGCATTGGAATTAAACTGTCTGTTTTCACCTCTCTGAATGCTAATCAAAGTTACAGAGTGGACGAAAGCTAACATATCCTTTTACATCCATGTATTTGTTGAGAACCTCTAAGAATTTCCTGCCCTAAGCAAGGAGGCTGAGGTCTGAAGTTCAGGAAAATGAAGAAATACCATTGCTTCCTCTGTAAGAGATCTTCAGTGAAAACCTAAAAAGAAAGGTAGTTAAGAGCAATCATACTCAGAGCCGGTACTATACTCAGGCTGCAAGGAACAAGAGTAAGATCAAGGAATTCCAGAAAATTTGCTTAAATCCTATAAATCCTACCTAAGAGGATAGGACAGCTAGCCAGCTTTTAACTCTTTCCCCACCATGCAATCACATACAGATCTCCACAGCAATGTTCTGAACCAGTGGGCTCAGCACAAGGAGGAGCAGAACCAAGTTTTCTCCTGTGCCTCAGCAACAGCTTCACACAGCAGTACAAATCCATAACTCAGAGAGGACAGTGTCATTCATTGTACTAAATGTTCACATCAACTATTAATAGAATGACCCCCAACACGAAAGTGTCATGGAACAGGTTTATACACCCAATATAAGCTTAACAGCGAGATGCAGGGAAACTATGGCAGCTCAAATTGCCAATGGCAATCAGTAACTGGAGGCTTTTTAGTTACAGTATGAGATGCTGAGCAAAATAAACTGCTAGGTACTTTTTAAAAGAAGCATTTTAAAATCTGGGGTGCATCTGAAGAGGATTCTCTCTCCTCTCTTCCTGTATATAAATGTATTTATTTAAAGTCTGAAAAACCTTAGCATAGTATCTTAAGGCTACAGTAAATATTTAAAAGGTCAGGAAAAAAGCAACTCACTGTGAAGCAGTAAAATCCAAAATTAGCTGTCCAGATTAGAGGGAACTGAGCAAAACTTTGAAAGGAAAAGTATAACAAATACGCACTCATTTCTCTTTTACAGCCTCTTATATAATGAGATAGTTCTTCAAAACCACTAGATAATCTGGTACATTTAGCGTAAGATGTATAAAACTATGCTTGATATAGTAAGCTTTAATAAGAAGAAAGAAAAATAGATCATCAACAGAAGTGAATTTAGAATTCATCAGTTCCTCGTTCCCACCTTAGCTTGTCTTCTTCAAAAAGAACAAAGCATTTCTCCTTTACAAAGAGCATCGTTTGGATTGACGATACAAAAGGCAACAGAACCAGACAAAGCGTTCTTCCCGAACATAGGTGTAGTCATCATGCTCTTACTGCCATCAAATCCTCTGAAAGACCCATTTATACCATAATAGCAACAAGAGAACAAGCTACTCTGTGTGATAAGCCACTAATGAGCATTTGTAAATAACAGTTAAAAGAAAATTGCCCCAAAAACTTGAAAAATATACAATTAGTTTTTTTTACTAACTAGGTGTAGGCCCTGAAACAAGCATCTGCCTGCAGCTGTGCAGTACTTTTTCAAAATTGAAAAAACAACAATTGAAAACTAGTAGTTAATCATATGATTTCAACATCAGTCCCACATGATTTCAATATCAGTCCATGCTTAAACCTTCTTTCCCCTTTTTAATTTTTTGCCAAAACAGTGGAACTTTTTGGTGTAGACTATAAGTCATCCAAGCCAAACAACAGTCTTACATTATTTTATTACAGTACAGGTAACATCATCGATCTGACATGGCATCGCACCTGTCCCACCTACAAACCAGAGGGTCTAAAACACAAACGTCTACATTCAAGTCATATTTGACTCTTCCCAGTGTATTGTGTGTAAGTAAGGTATTTTGCTGGAGATTTCTTCCTCATTCTTCCAACCCTCTTGTAAATGAGCAGGAATTCAAAAAATTTCAAGAGGAATCAAATTATGTATACAGATGTGTAGAAGTATGAGTCAATAGATTATCATCAAGTTTAAAGTTGGCTCAGTGTCAAGGCATGAACACTTTTTGATAGCAGTTCATGAGTTACGCTGTAAGCTTATACATGAAGCCAAGTCACCTCCTAACTGTTAGAAAAAATGTTTAGACACATTCCTAGAAGATTTTATTTCACAGTGAGGACCTGACCCCACACTGTGGCTGGCTGAATAACACATTGCAAAATTCTTAAGACTGCAAGACCCAAGAACATCATGAACACACTCAGTTGTTGGAAAAGATGAACCTTTCTTATTTGGAAACAAAGGCCTGTCAGTTGAGACCCATACAGCAGCACTGACAGACATCCCCTGACATCAAACGCTCACTGAACTCCGTTTTTCAATTCTTCTCCAAAAATGATCCCGGCTTTAGTTGCTTCTCCACAGTCCCTTAGTAAAGCACATTAAACGTAACGTGTGATATTAGGAAACCTCCTCAGGATCCTGTTCACTTTGCTTGAAGTTAAGTTTCCCCTCAGTTCCAGGGTCTCCTCCTCAGCTTTCTCCCTGCGCTCCTTCTGAAATAGGAAAACAAACCTCAAAATATTACCTTTGTTTATTTGCTGAGTTGACTCTCACACTCAAGGACTAGTAATAATTGTACTGAGATGTTTATCTCAGAAGAAAGCCATTTCTTTAAGGGATACTTATGATAGCACTTGCCTAAATAATCACAAGGCTTTCAAAAACGTGGTCTCCTTTAAATGGTGAAATTAATGAACGACTTGTCATTTTTAAGACGGTATCTCTCCACACTCTTAGTTAATAAGGTTATAAGCTTGTATTAACAACACAAAACACATTTTTCCTTTTAGTTTATGTTTTTTGCCTACTTTGTAATCCCCTTTTATCAATTGTGGACAATTTTTCATGTAAGCTGTCATGCAGCAGCAGGGAAAAACAATTTTATGAAATGATGACGCTATTATTAAAAAGACTGAAAAAAGGAAAACAGTTTAAGAACACATCTAGTACGTATACTTACCTTTGTAATGCTTTTGGAACAAACCTGATTTCAAATTTGCCATATTAGGTAAGAACAAAACATTGTTTCAGTATTTGTGCTCTACCTTAGTTCTGGAAACTATATCCATATTTTTTCTATTTTCATTTGCAGAGTCTTTATTGCCTCTGATGGATTTGAATGGAGTAGTTCCTAAAGTTTAAGATCAGACAAGATAACTCCTGACCTGGTATAGTGTAGTAATACCCTTTAGCTGGCAGCTTCTGATTTCCAAACAATCTGAAATTTCTTTTGTCTAGCTCTCAAAGTCAGAAACAGCCTAAAAGAACTCAAAATTTTCAGAGAATCAGGAATAGCTGCAACTACCTCATCCATCCTGAAAATTCTGTTTATGAGGAGGATTACTGGAACTACCGGTTATTTCTCTGCCACCCACTGTCTCCACCCCCACTTCTGCAAGCACAGAGCTATTTACAGATTTGTCACAGAACTAAATTTGGGAATCTTGACTTACCACTTTCCCCTGCTATCTAGGCAATGCTGATAATGGACTGATACTTGATTGAGTTGGCTATTTCTTGATTTTATGAATTGGAGCAATTGCTGAAATTTACCTAAACTGTACTCTAACAACTTCAAAGTACTAGCTACAGAATTACAAAAATATCCCCAAATCAGAATCTAATCCACTTCTCATACTATACAAACCATTGCCTTACTTGCTGCCTGTACAGCTCCAAAATGTAGACTCCCTCATTCGGACTATTGTTTAACGTGGAGAGGAGCAGTGTCTTGTATTGCTTCACTAGTGCTGAAACTTTAGAGATCAAAAACTGGAGCAAATGAAAAGAAATGGCCTAGGTTAAGGCTGATTGACAGCAACTAAGCTCTACTTCAAGAATTTGACAACACAAAAAAGAACCGGACAGGCCTATTGTTTCCTCCCTCGTTAGACTATACATGGCATCCGGTCCCTTCCTCCACACCTTTATTTTCATTAGGTTCTGAATTAAATAAAGGAAGCATCGTATGTCTGATCTACAGCATCTTGCATCTCCTCTACAGCTCAAAGAGCTTACGACAAAAATTAAATCGTTTAGAATACGTTGGCACACAGAGAAATGATTGAGGGCTTCCTCCTTCCCTGCCAATAGCCTTTAAGAATGCAAAAGAGGCCTTAATTACTTCTGCCTTTGCCACGCAGTCATGGAACATCCGGATCTCCTCAGCGCAAGCTGCATTGCTGAAGTCATTCTGTTTCCAGCAGGCCATCATTACCGACATCTCTGTAATGCACGTTGCCTCTAGAGAGAAAAGATATAAAGAAAAACTCAGGTGCTCAGGAGGTCACATTAACAACCCTATGCAGTGCATAAATCTTCAGTGAGAAAATTAAGATGGGGTAGAGGCAGGAAAGAAAAACCAACATGAAAGTAAAGATACTATCATTGTTTTGCTCAGGAATGAAGCTCCTAGCCCAGTTATCAGTGTCATTGCAGCTATCTAACATCCTATTGTTGCAAGTCAGATAGATGTAACAGCTGTCTTAAGGATTCAAAGTACTTTACACACGTAAATCACACATAAGATATCACAGACACAAATTTAGGATTGGGATAGGGGAAAGTATTTTTTTTTCCAAAAAACGTACTTGCTAATTCTATGGCACAAATTGGATCCCTTTCCCCTGCTGTGAGGCCTCTGATCTTTTGCCTGCCTTCCAAAGGGGATCCTAACCAACTTCCATAGCTGCCGAGCGCTGACACCGCGGCGACCCTTCGCAGGCCACCGCCGCGGGCAGCGGGCGCACAGACCGCCGGGGAAGCCTCCAGCGGCGGGACGTCCCCGGGGGG